TTACATCCAAAAATGCGTCTACCCAAAGATTAAAACAAAGGGTAGGGGTTTTTTTCCATTTCTTCTTCTCACTATATAAATAGTGATATTTTTAAAGCAGTTGTTGCCTGATATCTAACACTAAAACCCAGACCTTCTACCACCATAGTAGAGGAAGAAATCAGGGCAACCAGATTATACTGGGAATTCTTTTTAATCACACTGAACCTTAAAATGTTGCTGTGAGCACATAGAAGTTTAAAACAGGTAGAGCAGCTTAAAGAGAAAAAGCCATAAAGATAAAAATGAGATCTAGATAATAACTGGATAATAATGGGAGACTTTCATCTGAATGAACCCTTTGAGTCTGGTCCAGGACACTAATAATTGCAAGTAGCTCATTAGTTATGGCTAAAAACTTCATTCTGTTCCCAATATAGCCAGACACTGATGTTAGGAAAAGGCACACTTGTTGACAATAATTACAGAAGCAACAAGGATCAAATAGACAGGGAACTTTCCCCTCATTTACAGAAGAGCTACTGCTCAAATTGGGCTGAAGCACACGGACTGCTCAGTGCCCTGAGCTGGGGCTGAAGAGCTTTTGTCTCCAAAAAGAAAAGGAAAGGGAAATCATCTTCACTGCCTGCACTTCTCAGAGTGCAGAGAAAGAATTAGACAGAAGTTCACAAGGCTCTGCTGGAAAAGCGTGAGGGGCAATAGACATTTCCAGGACTTTAAAAAATAACAGCAGTAGTTATTTCAAGAACACAACTGTCATTTTTGTCTGAACTATTAAACATGCATAATATAATATCAGTAAAGATTATGAAGCACTCTCAAATATGTCCTGAACAGAGAATAGAAATATATATTACATAAAGCCCATAATCCATCTATGTACCATTCTGGGCCAGGGAGATATTCTGGGTTCAACTTTCAAATGACTTCTACCAAAATACAAAACCGAGACAACGCCAACTAAAAATTCCTTCAAAGCATCAACAACTCACAAAAATCATAAAAATAAAATAATTGTGAAGTCAGGCTATTTTGCACATGATGGCCAAATCCTGAACTAATACCACTGCCCTAAAGGCTGTGGTATTGTGAGAGTCTGCACTGGAGTGGGAATATTTACCAGGAACATCCAGGAAAAGATGAAAACTAAAGTCTAGCTGACAAATCTCTAGTAAAAAGATAATCTGTAATTTCCTTGGATATGTGTAGAATTCCACATTGGTTTGTTTCCAGCATATACGAATTTTCCATGGGAGGGGAAAAAAAAAAAATAATATAAATCCTCAAATCAAAGCGCTGCTTTTTTTTAGTCCCAGGAACTATTTTTAGGTTATGTTGTCACACCACAAATTGATAGGACAAACTTTCAAAGGCCAGCCCTGCATTATGTCATTGCTTTTTAGTAAGGCTCCCAGCACTGGCCTTGCTATGTCTTTGCTAACAAAGTTAGCATTTCCTTGCAAGTCAAGTCCATTAACTTTTCTGGCAATTTTACATTGAGCTTTTCACTTTTAGGAAGAAGTCAACCTAAAAAAAAAATAAGTGTAACCTGCATATGCTAAAATTGGGAGGAAAAAGAAAAAAAGTCTTATTGAAAGGGAAAAAAAAACCCCCCCAAAAGCAGCCACCTCCAGCTCCATTTCAGCAATGTCCTACTTTGCTGCCTGCACTCTGAGCAGTCCCCACACACACACTTCAATTGATGGGGGAAATCTTTATGATTTTCTTCTAGATTCATCAAGTTGCTCTTCTGGGTTCCTGAAACTGCCCAAAGTTTATAGGTGAAATCACACAGGATCACTATCATCAGCTCAGTGGGACTTTGTGTAACGAGATTTCCCCCATAATCAGTTTTCCTGAATGTCTTCCTCACAAAATGGCAATTTTAAGATTGACAGCAGTAAAAAGCATTGACTGTACAAGAATAAGAAATTATATTATCCATGAATAGGGTAGCATAAACCACCACAAGCAGGCCAATATACTAAATGAATCCTTGGCAGTAATCCCACTTACAAATTTGTTTACAATTACCCAGGAAGAGGTGCTGTCAACCAGCCTTGTCACGGCTCTGTAAACAACATATACATTAATGATGATGCTGGGAAAGGAGCAGCAAAATTATCCATTATCAGACAAATTGCTGAGATGCTGGAATACTTGAAGCCTTATATAGAGATAGCCTCTCGAGAATAAATAGCTGGAAAGAAGAACAGGATCGTATCTACATCAAAATCAAAATAGAAGAGATTTAGAGCCTGGTAACATAACCTTATGAGGAAGAGTCCATTAGAGCATAATGATAAATACAGGTATTTTCATTAGTCATTCCACAATTAGACAAACTCGTTATTATTTTCTGTCTCTGACGCTGCAAATGGCCTTAGGGCAAATCAGCTTGTACTGTGATTTAAGATTACAGATTTTTACAAACATAAATAAAAATAACCAAGTGAGACAGACATAAAAAACCCAGCAGACATCCAAAAAAAAATCCCCAAAGACGCATTTTTGAAATAAATTTGCATCTGAAGATGAAAATCACTGAAGTCTACAAAAAGTATGTCAGTGACTTATCAAGCCTTGTACTGTAAGTACCTAAAGACACAAAGCTGCTTTGGTGAGGTACCAAGGAAACAGGCTTTTACCTTAGTGACCTCAAACAAGCGTCCCTGGAAATAAAAGGCAAGATGGTCCTGTTACAAAACACAGAACATTACATTCTGCTACCTTCTCAAGTCCTCTCAGGATGGCCAACGTGGTATTACAGCATTCACTTTAAGGTTTATTAACCATCATGTAGCAATAAAGTGCATTTTGATTCCTAAGTGCTTTCCCCAAAGTGCTTACAGCTCCACAGAATCAGCAGCGATCGTTTTTGCAATTTAAAACCCTAACTACACAATAAATATGCATTTGTGGAGATGCAGCAGTTAAACCTGATGTAAACAGGTCTAGTGATTTATAAAACTATAGATGGGAAGGTTTCTCAAAGATGCCAGACCTGTTTCTAAATCAATTTTATTATTTTAAATGTGACAAAAACAGAGTCAAACACATATCCCTGATTTAATTTTAAGTTCTTATGAACTGTGGCAGATGACAGGTTGCCACTCACTAGATTCCATCCCCTTTCCAACCTCAAAGCAGCACAGTGAACTGCCTGGAACACCAACCAAGCATCATCAGACTTTATCTGCCAAAGTTGGGGGAGAGGGTGTTTGATTTTCAGTGATTATAGTTTCATCAGCAGGAAAAGGAAAATAAACAAGCCTACCAAATTCAAGAGGAGTACCAAAAATAGGCTTCCTTCTACAGAATAAGCACATACCTCACTGTGTTGTGTATTTCTTATGCCCCACTGGTGCCAGCACACCCACTGAAATGAGAGACAAGTGAAATCATAGTGGTTTTTGTTTCGCTGTTCAGCATGGAAAAGAAAAATGTGTTAAAAATCTATTGAGAGATTAAAGTTCCAGCAGGAGTTAACTGAAGGAAGTCATCATGCATTTAACTGGCTCTTCCTCCTTCTAGGTGATTTCATGGGGCAGCCTCTGGAAGGGGAAGAGGATGGGAGCTGAACTGTGTCCAGGGCGTCTCTAAGGGTGAAAACTGACCCCTGGGAACACCTCCTGACCAGGTAAAACAGAGGATTCACAAACTTCTCCAAATCACCCATGGGTCTCAATGCAAGCTTGCTATGATTTAGAACTGATGCATAAACACAAGCTTAATTACAATTGTCATATGTTTGGAATTTTCTAAACAGTAAACAGGAACAGGCAAAAACTAGCTGATGAAGTCAGTCCTACGTGTATCAACACAGCTTTAGATAAGAATGTTCTGAAATAAACACTATCCAAAGCCACTGCATGTGCCACTGCTTCAATAAGAAGTTATTGCTGTGTCATAACTGTGTCAAAAAAAGAAATCACAAAAATATCGAGGCAATGTTTACAAGTTGCATGATTACTTTAAAGGTAATTATTTGGCTAGAACACATGACTCTTATTTCCCTATGAAAGGCTCTCTACTTAACTGGATTAACACACTATTGATAGCTAAATTCCACTGCCAGAGGCTACTGTCAAGTCATCATTTCCAGAACAAACCTATAAGCTATTTTCTTTATCCTGTGTGCAGCTATTACACCGAGCTCATCATGAATTTGTTCCCAAAGTGCTCTAAAAAAAAAAAAACTGCTGCAAAGAACATTCAAGAGATGCATGACACAGGATTACCTGTTCTAATGAAATTAGACCATACATCAGGCACAGGTTGGAAGGCTAAATACATTTAGCAGCCAAGCAAGAAGCTAACATTTGATTTTCAACCTTGGTGATTTTTTTTTTTACTTTAAAGATGATTCAGTTTTGATGCTGTCAAAATTGATTATCGCCTGGAAGTCAACTCTCAGATGTTTTCTAGGGAAAGCAAATCCAGCTCTGCTCATTCTCAGCAAATGCTTCTCATGAGAATGTTTACATTTTTCTTATCAAAAGGAACCCTCAGATATGTACACTCGCTTTCTCCACCCATTTCTTAGCACAAGCAATACACAGGTTTTACACAGAGATGTTAGATAGGAAAAGAACAGAAATAACCTTCTTCAAGATACCCTTTCCTGCACAAAGCTTCATTCAGGCTAATGCCACTGGAAAACGTGTCCCATCCTGTGCCACTCACCTTTGCATTTCTCTGGGATGGTAACACAGAGGTAAACAAGAGAGAGAAACTTCTGACCTCTCTGCTTTCATGGAATCATCAAGAACCATGTCAATACAAGCAGAAGCCTCTTTTTTTTTTTTTAATCTCATTTCCATTTGCAGCATCTAACTAAAATCAGAAAAAACTGAAAAAAAAAAGCTCTGAAAGCGGCATCATCCTTTCTTAATACTCCACATAAAGGGAATTTATTTTAAAGTTAGGCTTAGTAACAGGAACAAAAACAATTTAAAAAAAAACCCTAATTGGTACCAAACTGGGGGATTTTGAAGTCTCACTTCCTTCCTTGTCTCCCAACACCATTCTCTGTTTCCTGATGTTGATAATGCCTTCCTAACCAAGGGCCCCAAAACACCCCTAGGAAGAGCCAAAGGAGAATAACCAAAAAAAAAGTTGAAGTACACAAGGAACACAATCCAAAGAAAACATGTTTGTTAGGGACAGGCCAGGCCAATGTGCTGGCTGCACTAAAGGACTGGAGAAAAGCAAGTTACAGTTTCCTCATTCTGAACTGGCAAAAAGCACTACCCTACTGCACTGCCAAAAGGCTGCTTGGAAAATTTCCTGAGCCCATCTTTCCAACATAATTTACCCTATTTTCCTGGGCTCTTGTCTGCCTCAGCAACATCAGCAGCCAGTGATCACATTTCATGACCATTGGTCACTCATGCAATAAAATTGCCTGTTGCACCACACAGCAGCTCCTCATCAGGACTTTGTCACACAATAAATACAGAATATATTTCAGAAAACAGAACTGGACTAGGGAGTTTCACTGTGCAATGCCAGGCCAGAAGTTTAGTATGTCATAAATAAAAAATAAAACAGTAAAAATAAAATATAAATATAAATAAAATATAAATAAAATGTAAATATAAATAAAATGTAAACATAAATAAAATATAAATATAAATAAAATATAAATTAAATATAAAAATAAATATGAGAAAATAAGCAACAAAAAACAACCTTTAATGTGCTATAGAGACTGGACACTGACAGCATCTTTGAGGTTACATTCTTCACAAAGTTGTTAGAGACAGCTCTCATCCTCATCTTTTACTGAATGGGTTATGTTTGATACAGGAAAAATAATGAGACTGAGCAGAGCATAGGAAGATTCCCCCTTTACAAATTAAATTATATTGTAATGACATCTAGGTCTACTTGAGATACGTTTGTTGATCACAGAAATGTGTGTCAAGCACTTCTTTTTATTATTTTAAAATGTATCAAAAGCATTATCCCTAACCATGCAGTTGTCAATTATGCAAATTATACAAATAAAGTTTCAAAGCAGGACAATCTTTTTGCTTTTTTCTTAGACAAGCCAAACTTGAGTCCAATAAAGAAAAAAAGACCATAGCTAATGAAAAAGGAAAAAACAGATTGGAAACTTACTTGTGATTATAAATGAGAAGCACAAAAACTAAAATATTTTTCTTAAAATCCAGTTTAAATTAAAAGCTAAATTTGACAAAAAATAAAAGTGTTAAACCACATATTAAATTAGCACCTAAAGTATTAATCTGTTTCAGCTACCAGTTCTCCAGGAATGCGTAAGAGTTCATTCAATGTAAAAAATAAAAATTTAAAAAAAAAATTTTAAAAAAAATATGGAGTAACTGTTGTACTAGAGATTTAAGGGGAAAAAAGTATATTTTGACTTGCAAAAGAAAATCCTGTTAATTGCAGACAGTCCCTTTTGCACTCCCATCTCTTCTGCACCCTGAAATTCCAGCGTGCCGCGTCGCCTTGAGCCGGCCAGGAGCGTGGGAAGGGTCCCGTTGCGTAAGATGTTATTAAGGCAGCAAAGCCTGGCTGCTTAACTGCAAGATACTTAAATACTCAAAATAATTACACAGATTACAGCACTGGAGCAGCAGGGAGCTGTTCCAGCTCACCCTCTCCAAGTGTGTTCCGTGCCCCCAGGCTGAGCTGGGAGATGCTGACCCTTCCTTGGGTGTTTCCCTGGAGGCAGAACGGGGCTGACCTCCACTCCTGCTAGGCCCACACGCTTCCAAGTGATGGAAAAATTCCCCAGCCACAGAACTAATTATGCTTTATCAACAAGGTAAATATGACTCCCACTGAAGTTAATTTACAGGCATGAAGTACTTTTTCCTTCCTGCTCAAGCCGCTGCAGTTAAAGGACAGTGCTCAGTAGAAATATGTGAAGAATCCCACATTACACTATTTCAGATGTCAAGCATCGAAGCATATTCTAGAACAATCTGGGCTTATTTTAATTTTTCAGATATTTACTGATAGGCTCAGACCTACAGATGTCTGGCACAAAATACAACATACTAATTCTAAAGTATACAAGACATTATAAAGTATTTATTTCTTCATGGGATGGTTAAAAACCCAACCAAAGGACCTAACAGAAGAAAAATTAAATACAGCAATACACTGCTCTGAGAGGGCAATCCTTTAAGTACAGGTCTGTACAGCTACAGATATCTCTGAGCACGCACTCCCTTCCCATTTCCCAGCACATTTTTTGGGTGGGGATGTCTTTTGCTTATGGGGGTTTGTGGCTTTTTGTTTGGTTGCTGGGTGGAGGGGTTTTGGTTTGCATTTGTGGGGGTACAGCTGTTTTGTCTTGTTTGGTTTTTTTTAAATACAGTTCTCTGCCCTGCCTGCAGAGCTTTTTGTTCCTCTTGCAGTGGCAGTGGCATGAAAAGCAAGCATTGAGCAATGAGCTGGAGAGAGAACCAGGAACCCAGGCTCTTAGTCAACATCAGGAAACTATTTCCACTTCAGAAGTCAGGAAGCTTTTTGCACTTGTGCCACATTCTGCTGAAGAAGAGAATCTGCTGTCATGCCACACAAATGTAAACAAACCCATCAACAAACACTGGACATAACCATACTTCACTGTTGCTGTTTCTTCAGATTTGCACTAGTACTCTTCCCAGACAACAATGAACAACCCTCAATCTCTGTTTTGTTTTCTATAGCATACAAAGGCAACACACATATTATTGAGTTAGTCCAGAGCTATGCACACTCTGCCTTGCCAAACAGCTACTGCAAAACACCAAAGACAATTACCAACTTCTTCCTTTTCACCCCACAGAAGTCTGAATCTTCTCACTGCTCTGCAGCTGCTGTTCATACCTCTGGCACTTCTTCATCTCCTGCCAGATTTGGGTTGAAGTGCTTGAAGGTTCAGTGGTACTGGGACAAAGGCACACTTTATGCACATTAATCAGTCAGACAAAAAAAGCTCAGAGGTCAGCTCTGAAGTTTTTTCAAAAATCCCCACTAGATCACAGCCATCCAGAAAACATCAGATTTCTTATTGCAGGAGTTTTGTGCATTACCCATTTCAGAAGTGCAAGTGCAGGCCACCAAATGCCCCCTCCAACAAGCTGATCACATTCCATTCTCAAAACAATGCTTTTGCTTGTCCTCACAGCTCAACCACTGGGAAGTTAAGAGGTGCAACATACACAGAGAAATTTGAGAAACTTATCTGTAGCTATTGTCTCATGAAAAACTCAAAATGTACAAAGAGTCTTTACGAGGAACTAAATAGACACTGTCACGTGCAGAAGAAAAATTAAGAATTAAGCTATGTCACTTTAAAAACTGCAAAATTAATCCATTCCAATGACTGCCATTGAACAACTTGCACTACT